ATGTATATATATATGTATGTATATATGTATATATGTATATATGCATATATGTATATATGTATATATGTATATATGTATATATGTATATATGTATATATGTATATATGTATGTATATATATATGTATATATGTATATGTAAATATGTATATATGTATATATGTATATATGTATATATGTATATATGTATATTTTTTTACATGTATATTTTTTATATGTATATTTTTTTATATGTATATATGTATATATGCATATATGCATATATGTAAATATGTATATATGTATATATGTATATATGTATATATGTAGGTATGTATATATGTATATATGTATATATGTAAATATGTATATATATATATGTATAGATGTATATATGTAAATATATGTATATGTATAAATATGTATATATATACGTAAATATATGTATATATATATGTATATATATATATATATGTATATATGTATATATATGTATATATGTAGGTATGTATATATGTATATATTTTTATATGTATATATGTATATATGTATATATGTATATATGTATATATGTATATATGTATATATGTATATATGTATATATGTATATATATGTATATATGTATATATATGTATATATGTATATATGTGTCCATGTACATATGTAGATATGTAGGTATGTAGATATGTAGGTATGTATATGTGTATGTATGTAAATATGTATATATGTGGATATGTGTATATGTGTATATGTTTACATGTTTACATGTATATATGTATATATGTATATATGTATATATGTATATATGTATATATGTATATATGTATATATGTATATATGTATATATGTATATATGTATGTATATGTGTATATGTGTAATGTGTATATGTGTATGCGTGTATATGTGTATATGCCTATATGCGTATATATGTATATATGTAAAAAAGTATATGTATATCTGTATATCTGTTTGTATGTCTATATGTATATATGTATATTTGTTCATATGTACATATATACATATGTACATATGTATATATGTATATATGATCGCGTCTTCCGACTGCGTGGTCCCCCCCGCCCCCCCAATGGTATGGGTTGCCAGGTAGCACCCCCCCCTTCCCTTCTATTTGCAAGCTATTGGCAGCATTTCTGATGTCCAGGCTCCTATTTGCTAGGTTTTTGCAGCGATTCTGACTACCAGCCTCGCATTTACTCGGTACATGCTACCTTTTAGACGACCTACGTAGCAAACATACTCCCTCAAAGTACCTACGTGCTACCTATAGTCATATATACACGTGCTATGTATCTACTTCCTATATATATATGTATATACATACATACAAACATATGTAGCTATATATATGTATATATATATGTATATATATACATATGTGTATATATATCTATATACATAAATATACATATACACATATATGTATACACACACATATATACATATATATTTATATATACATATATATACATATATATTTATATCTATATATATATCTATATATATACACATATACATATATATATATATACATATATACATATATATATACATATGTATATACATATATACATACACATATATACATATAATCACAAATATATATATATATAGATATATATATAGGAATATGTACACATACATATATATATACTTATACGCATATATATATATATAGAGACATGTATATACATATGTACATATATACACATACATATTTACACATATATATATACACACATATATATAAGCAGTACCGCACCCCCACCACACCACAGGGGGGGCGGGGAACATATTTCCTGTATATCCATACCCATTCCTACTACTAACTACTTCTCACTACTACTAACTACTAGGAACCCGGCGCATAGACGGCCGTGGCTCAAAATGAAGATCGAGTATCATCCAGCATTGATTTTCTGTGCGTTTGTAAGGGGATTTCTCAAGTTTCAGGTGTATACACTTTTTGTGGCTGAATTCCATTGGAAAGTTAGCTATATGGCGTTTTCGCCTCAGCGAAACGATAATTTTAATGCTTTTTTGAAATGACGTAACTACTTTGTCTATGCCAGGATTTGCTTCTTTTTTTCCTCATCTGACAGCATCAATCCTGCGGCAGGAGGTCTTCCAAGTGTTCCGAAAATTCGCAGCAGCGTAGCATCCACGTATGTAGGCAAGGTACATGAACGTTAATATCCCCCCGACCCCACCCATGCCCAGTGACGTAGCAACAGCGTAGCATCCACGTATGTAGGCAAGGTACATGAACGTTAATATCCCCCCCACCCCCCCCATGCCCAGTGACGTAGCAGCAGCGTAGCATCCACGTATGTAGGCAAGGTACATGAACGTTAATATCCCCCCCACCCCACCCATGCCCAGTGACGTAGCAGCAGCGTAGCATCCACGTATGTAGGCAAGGTACATGAACGTTAATATCCCCCCCACCCCACCCATGCCCAGTGACGTAGCAGCAGCGTAGCATCCACGTATGTAGGCAAGGTACATGAACGTTAATATCCCCTCCACCCCACCCATGCCCAGTGACGTAGCAGCAGCGTAGCATCCACGTATGTAGGCAAGGTACATGAACGTTAATATCCCCCCCCCCCCACCCATGCCCAGTGACGTAGCAGCAGCGTAGCATCCACCTATGTAGGCAAGGTACATGAACGTTAATATCCCCCCCCACCCCACCCATGCCCAGTGACGTAGCAGCAGCGTAGCATCCACGTATGTAGGCAAGGTACATGAACGTTAATATTCCCCCCCCCCCCCCC